ACGATCTGAGTGACTGGATTCAAAGAGAGGAGCTCAGCCAGCGTGACTCACCCAGTGTGACTTCAGCCTGCATGGGCATGGACAGAGCAGGGTGGTTGACCTCGCAGCTGAACAGAACCTCGTTGTCCAGCTGGGGGTTGAGGCTCCAGGTCAGCATGGCTTTCACCTCCATGGTCCCGTCGCCTACCGCCTGCTGCTGGTGCTGGAAGTAGTAGAGCGGGTCGCTGCTCTGGACCCAACGAGGAAACTCCCGGCTCACCACTGTCTCGTGGATCACCTCGGTGGTTGGCTCAGAGGTCAACTTGGACCCCTCCTCTTCGCCTTGTTCGGCGCCGTCGGGGACATCGGGGACATCTTGGCCCAGCCGAGCCAGCTCCCCCTCCTGCTCCGGAAGGAACGGGGACTTCTGGACTTTGGTGTCATCGAGGTCTTGCCTGGTGAGAACCTGGGAGCTCAAGAGCCCAGCCTGGCTCCTACTCCAGCTCTTCTCCTGATCCGTGGCTTTGCTTTGATCTCCCACCGAGGAGGACGACTGGGCCGTTGGCACCACATCGATGAGCTCACCATCACGCTTGAAGTAAACCTGAAAAGCACAAAGGAGCTTAAAGGACGAGGGTACTATGGATCCTTTCACATCACAGGTCATGACGAACCACAAAACTCTTCGCCTCATATACAGTTTCGGCCGGTGTACTTACTCCTTTTACACATTATTGTTATATTTTTGCCCAACACAGAGTTTTAAATATTATTTTATATGCAAGAAATTCCACAGCCCAGAGAGGCAAGTGAGAAAAAATCATTTTAAATTCTAGATAAGCACAATCGAACTTTAAATTCTGGGCTTTTAGCTTGTAATTCTACTATTCCCCTCACTGTTATGCCTTGAGTCATGATCCTCCTCTTAAATTTTGTTTGTCATTTCAGTAAAACATCTAAGAAGAGGAGAATTGTGATCAGGTCATCGCTACCTTCTTCTAGATATCAGCTGGAGTGCAGGTTCTAACATCTATACTGTCTGTACGGCTGCTTTCACACCGTATCTATGTTACAGCTGGATGTGTTTATCTGGTTTATTGGTCAAAATGAAAGAAAGGTTGGTGCCAGCCATCATCGTTTCATTTTCTACAATGTTAAGTGAGCATGTCTTTGGCTAAACAAAGACTGAAAATAAAGTCAGTTCAGCAGATAAACAGAAGATGAAACACGGTTGGTCTTCTAAAGGTTGTGATTATTTATAATACCGCTCGGTTTAATCTCTCTGATGTCTTTGTTTCCGTCTTAACTGCTTTTCTTTTATGTCGGACTTTCAAGCCGTTGCATCAAGTGGAGGGAACTGTGTTTTCTGTTCGTGTGTGACTGCCAACATTTTTAATCTAGCAGTGCTCCCGGTTTCATTCTGGAGTGAAAGCACCAGCACCACCCGCCCCTCTTTCTCTAAAAGGGTTGAGAGTTGTTCCCATGATCGTAAACAGACGGATCATTAGGTTTTCTTCCCCAGCATAGAAAACGACGCCACAAGTGATTTCAAAAGGCTCCATCTCACCATGGGTGCTGGCTTTGCTCCTGTAACAATGCAAACCAGAGTGAAGTTCTGGGCCTCATAGCGGCTGAATGGAGCCGGGCTGTTGGCCGCCACCATAGAGATAGTCTTGGGAGGTACTGCAGAGAAAATACCATGAAGGCTGAGGCAATCATTCGACTCATTGAAGATGTACTGCTGATGAATCTGAGCTGAGACTGCTGTGGCAGAACCTTCAAGTGTTAGCAATGATTTCAACTGTTTATTCAATAGTTGTTCTTTCTATTATTACTGTTATCAAGTGAATGAAACATAGTCCAATCAGTCCATCACGCTAAAGCATTCTTGGCCTGATCAGTCGTGCTTTCTTTGGTGACCCTCTGTGTTTGTTATGGACCAGTGGCAGTGTGTTATTTGCTATAGTGAAATACAGCTGAAACCAGAAGTTTACAGACACCGTATTAAAAGACACAAAACCTTTTTTTTTTTTCGCACTATCTGACATTAAATCAGACCAAACTTTTCCTGTTTCAGCTCAGTCAGGATTACCAACATTATTTATATTTGCTAAACGCCAGAATAATGAGAGAGAGAATTTTTTTTAGAGATTTTTTTTTATTACTTTCTTCAAAGTCAGAAGTTTACATCCACTAAGATGCCTTCAAACTATTTGGGAAAGCCCAGATGATGATGTCATGGCTTTGGAAGCTTCTGATTGGTTAATTGACAACATGTGAGTTAATTGGAGGCACCTGTGGATGTATTTTAAGGCACACCTCAAACACACTGCTTCCTTTAGTGACAACATGGAAAATCTAAAGAAACCAGCCAAGATATCAGGAAGAGAACTGTGGTCCTCCACATGTCTGGTTCCTCCTCAGGTACAATTTCCAGACGCCTGAAGGTTCCACGTTCATCTGTTCAGACAGTTATATGCATCTATAAACACCATGGGAATGTCCAGCCATCATCAGGAAGGAGACGGTTCTGTGTCCAAGAGATGAAGTGATTTGGTGGA